TAAATCGATCTGTGTGGTCTTGAATACGCACACGGAATATTTCAATCTTTAAGCCGGATTAGTGTCACGATTCCTCCAACTTACGACGCATGGATTGAGATGACAGTTCAAAGTGGCGACACGCAGATATGTTTACGGCGATTTGGTAAGTTATAGAAGTATTAATAACATGTTGTAAGAGGCACACGAGATTATCAAATCTATATGCAAAAACGATTGGGATTAGATTATTTCTTTTTATTACGTCGATTTATTTCCTCTTAATATCGTTAGTGATTTATAACCCCTATTTATAGCTCCATATATCAGTACACTGTGTTAATGCGACTTTGAAGACCCTTTTCTACGTGTAGTAAATCTATTTAATTTACATTCTTAAATTTTCAATAAATTATATTACTTTTGATGTATCACACACACACACAATGTAATTAATTATATATATATATATACATATATATACATATATTACATATTATTATATTATATATATAACATAATATATAATGTATATATAATATAATATTATACCGGAAGTAGGTAATCATGGATTTTCAATATTACACATGCAGGAAAATTAGCTTATTTGTATTGTCTATTATCTTTAGTAATAAAATGTATCGTGATTGTGAAAGTATTAGGAACCATTAACGTCAACCAGGAACATCTAAGCTAAAGTAGAGATCTATGGCCACTTATAATAACCTTTTATTCATTAAAATTCCTCAAAGTTTATGATATGACATATCAAAACTATTCTAGTAGCAAATAGTTTAGAGTCATATTATAAATCCTGGTTCGAATCTCGCGAGGTACGTCATGGAAATCCTCGGAATGGCGGATTGCCCCCGTAGACTTACCTTCGCGATCGGCCTCGATGAGAACTCTTCTCATCAATACTAGAAATACTGGAAAGACTGGATTTTTCATGGAGAGCTTGGTGTCGCGTATTACGGCTGGTGCCAGATCGTCTGCGCTGTTAGAAATTTTCTTCGTCACCCTTCCTTTTCCCCGCCGCCCCTTACAAACAGCGAAACACATGCGTTTTAACATTTTCTTCATTACATAACGAGAAATTTAAATTTTAATGTACCCCACGCCTCTATACGACATGGATACCACCGTATCGAACTACGATCAAGCATATTCCTCTGACTAATTTGATAGATGGTCGTTAACGAGGCGGCTGGCAAGCGCTGTCAACAAAACGTTACCGTGATTAGCTTTGGAATTATTCACCCATATTGTTGCACGCAGGCTTGCCGTATGCACATTCGGTTAACAATCAGTGCCTGTGTTCGTCATATTCGGTGAACGATCATTTCGTTAAAAATGTAAAACTTTTGTTAAACGGTATAATATTTAAACTATTTTGGAACATTTTATAAATGACACAATTAACATTCAGTTTTCAATTCCGATTCATACAAAGTTGAAGCTTAAGACTTAAACTCCAAGTTAATATAAAAGAGTGGCATCCTACTTTTAAACATACTTGAAATCTGAAAATATTAACCGTCTGTTGCATGAATTTTTATGAGAAGTTGAAAACAAACATATATGGCTGTTATTTCATTTAAATATTGATGTGGTAATGAATTAAATAAGAAAATATTCATAAAGAATGTTATTTATTGAATTTTGTGACTATTCTTATATGGGAACTTCATACACATACAGACACAAGATAAAAAATATATTTATTCTGTGAGTTTAAGTTTCCGATCGGAATGCAAAAGAGGGTTAATAACAATTTGAGGTCCTCGATATTAAAAATTTGCAACACACGAGGTGTCATGAATTACACCACGGTCAAAGCAATTACATCACCTTCGAGTAACACTTGCAGCGTGTTGATGTGATTTCGCGAAGCGCGAATTAATTTTCGAGAAATGCTTGCGTGCGAATGACGGGCACTCTATACTCGGTCAAGTATCCATTTGAAGCTTCCGTGCCGACCGTACCAATGCAATTAAACCACGAAACTCGAGTCGACTGCGTTTTCTGTGCCGCGATGCACGTTACGACTTGATATACAGTGCTCGCCAAAAGTGCGAGACCAGGTCTCTCTATTAACGAAGAACGAGACTCCGATTCATTAAAGATTTCACGGAACTCACGTATCAACTTGGAACACGAATAACACAGTTACTAGCCGACTCCACAGGTTTTATTATATCGTTATGCGATCGAAAGATATTATTCTCCTCCATTACTCTTGAACCTTAGACCCATACTTTTGAACGATCGTGTATGCCGTGCTGAATGGCTAGTGATAAATGGATGGAATCACACTTCATGTGATTATGTTACGGTCGAACTTTATAATACCTTTTATGGAAATAAAGCGAACAAAAGGAGCGGTATTAACTCGCAACATTAAACAAATGAAAATTTTCAATTAAAATGTGCCGTGCTTTTAGATTTTACGGAACTCTTGCACCAGTATTTTTAATATTTCCGAAAAATCGTTGCGTCTGAAATACTGCAACAATTTCCTATTCAATAAGTATTTATTCAAAGAACGTATCGTTTCTTACTTCTATTTTCAGAGAGCTTAATCGAATTAGAATTGCATTTCCTACGCTTCAAGCACAGCAATGAAAAGTATCGTATAATTGTATAAAATTGAACTCAAGTGGGACAATTGATGTCTCTCATCGAAAAAAAAAATCATTGAACAATGATCGCTAAGATTTCATAATTTATAACGTCTCCATCGCATATTAGCGAATTCATTATTCCTTGCCCGGTTTAAAGAAGAAAAAATTGTCCCTCATGAATAATAATCATATTATTTGCAAATATTACCGTGAACAGCCTTAGAATATTCCATTCATTTACAATAAGAATGAAGAATGGAAATCCGAAGTGAACCCCGCAACGCGTGCCGCTGAATCCAGGAGTTATTCCGCCTCGCGCCGCGAGCGTCTCGGCGAATTTCAATTCTGCTGATCAGAGTAATGGAGAGGGGCCGTTCAAAAATTGGTCGTTTTAGAAAATACAATTACATTGTGCAGAGGGTAACAATCTCCGGGCAATCGTATAGTGGGCTTTAGTATCGGTTCCTATAAAGATTCAGATGACGCGAGCAAAATAAAGTGAACGTTTTAAGAGAATCGGCGTGCCAACGGAATTCCTTTGCAGCGCATCGAGGTGGATTCAAACGAGGTAGGCGGGATGGTGCGAAAGAAAGGAACGTTTGGTCCACCCCGCTGCTCTACCAACGAGCCAATAACCCAGTCGAATTAAACCGAACGTGTAATGAACGTTGCCGGCGTCATTGGTAGCGTGGCGTGGCGTGGCGTGTCGCTCGGGCACTGCGCGCCACGCCGCTGCGCTGTTTCACCTGTGTTCTGTAATACGAGATGCATTCGCATTACGCAAGTCGTTGCGGCGGCGAACCGCACGCAGCTTGTACGCAGCTGGGTTATTATTTACAACTCGCAGCGTGGCACTCTCCGCCGTTACTCTTGATTCCTGCGTTTCTCGATTTCCTCCGTTCACCGTCGTAAATCAGCGATATTGATAGAGGAAAATAACAACCTTGATCCGACGTTTTAATCCGCGACGCGAATTAACGACGCGCGATAAGCGTGGACGCTTTCAGCTCGACAATCTTCGTGAAAGTTTATAGACTGTAGAAAGTGAAACATTCTTTGCTGGATCGATAACACCGGATTTCATATATAAAATTACACGCGAGGGGAAACTGTAAGCTGCACCGCGCAGCCGTGTGCCTCGACTTTAATTGCAAGGTTAGTGCGTAATCATAACAAAAGGTGTACCCTAGGAGAATTCATTAGTAACGTCGTTTGAACTTGTGTGGTGTATACGGATTACAACTTGTAGAATAAATCTTGTAGAATGGGAGATTCTAGTGTTAGCCTTGACTTGAAATTGATTCGGTTTTACACACTATTTTGGAACCTTTATTTTGGGGGATTTTTATTGAAATCAGTGGTTCATGATTATGAAAGGCGGTATGTGTTTATACAAATATATATATATATAAAAGTGCATTACCAATTGCCGCGGAAAATAAGTTGATACTTCTTTTAAATGCATTGTTTACTAATATTAATAATTTAGAATTTTCATTTTTTGGCAAAAACAATCAATTTTTAAACTTCAATCGATCAGTTTGATTTACATTGAAACATTTATCATTCTTTAGTTTTAATTTTGAAAATAACTATTAGAAGCGTTTGTGTATTTTTACAGGTCAACCGAATGTTCCTACTCTTTCCTTAAATATTAACATAATTTTGTTAACTAAACCCTGGTATTTGCCTTTTAAACATTTCTAAAGTAATACAAGATAAAATCATTTCTCTCTCGTTGAAATAAAAATTCCAATATATACGTAAGTACTTAAAACATTCCGTTACATTGTGACATACAATTATGTAAATTATTGCTATAAATTTTCATGACAATATCCGTATATCTAATAGAGGAATATTTATAAAGATGTATAGAAACGATGCATGTAATACAGAAGAAAGTACAAGGTCTTATTAAAAAATTCGAATATTTCCTAAGGTTAAAAGAAAAAGATCTCTTACAGCGATATCGTAACGCTCCGTCACTCAAGGCAATATTATTATCGTATCTGAATGAAGATAGAATCGTGTGCTAGCTACAAGATACAATTTGTCCGCTATAATTTGTTTCCGCCACTAATTATCTCGTATATCTTTTCCTTATCTGTCAGAAGCGATCCACCGCATCCCGTGCTTTCAATTTGCACCGCTGCTAATGGTAACCTTCGTTTTATTAGATCCGCGGTTGGTAATCGTGCGAAACTTATTTGAATACTATATATCATATGCAGATCGAGAACGATTAGGCTGTGTCCCACAAATTGAAATCTTGCAGGTGCAATGGTAAATACCAGCAGAGATACATTTCTCTGTAGCCATATCCTTTTCTCTGCAACGCGTGCAACTTGAATATAAGAAATGGACGTTTAATACGTTTATCTTCGTTTGTTGCAGGTTACCACAGTTTGCCGTTTTAGCGAAGATTTTGTGCCTCCTGATGGTACGTATTATTAGACATAAAAACATAAAAAGAACGTTGACAAAGTAAATATTTAATAGCGTTTCTTTATTTTCTTTCAGTTATTTCGCTATTTTATTCTCTGGATCATAATTCTATATTTTTCTGTAGTGATACTCGTTTCAAATGCTTTATTCTAATAATTATTTGTTATGCTGTATGCATGTAACGAAATATTCTTCGCGAGTTTAACAAATAGGGTCGGTTAAATTTTAAGACAATATTCATATCAACAAAAGATCGCTAATTATACGATTCCATTACTAGAATTGTTGGCAATTGATCGTACTTCTTGTTTGACGGATTAGATTGGTATATCTTGTTTCCTCTTAAACCTTTGCAATATGATTTCTTTCACAACTGTGATCGACAGAACTAGTTTATTACTCATAATTCATTAGGAAAAGGGACAAATTCTACGCTTACGTGAAGTTTACGGTTACCCTATTCCACTATAATTGATAATATAAAAAAAAATATTTCATTTGAACTTGAATGGCTTGAATGACATTGATATTGGTTACATTTTATTTGAAATTTTCACCACGAGTCTGTTCACAAAAATATTTAGTTACAATACATAAGAAAGTAGCCAGAGTTGTAATTTTGAATTAAGCAAATTTGTTTAGTTCGTATAACAATATAGAAAAACTTAAAGATGTTATTCGAAATTCGAAGTAACCTGGACTAATTTATGATTTTTTAATAGGAAATCATTAAAATCTTCAGAATTAGTTTCAAAGATGAATAAAACTAGTTTACGGATAGCTAGGGTGGAAAATTTCTTATGAAGTATTTAATAATTTTTATACTTAACTAAAATTACCCTATAATTTATTTATAGTTCGTAATATACCAAAAAATGACATATTTAGCTTATTGTTACTTGAATACCTTTAGAAACCATACGCGTCGATAATAGATCTTTCATGAACTTGTACAGAAGAGAAAGGTGGTAATTTCGAATAATAGCTACTTTTTCTTTGGCAATACATACACTCGTAAATTCCCATTAATTAAGAATTGCAACGTTTTCTATTGAATTACTATCATCTATTACACACAACTATAACAGCGCAAGCAGAGTACGTATTTGTCATCCGCGTGACGTCGCTCTAAAATACGCGTACGGTTGTTTCAAAATGCTATAGCATCGATACGTAAATTACCGACAATGGTAGCACGAATTCCAAGTATAAGCTCTCGTGTATTCGGAATAGATACGATCGTTCCACTGACCCGCGAATCTATTGAAAAAAGGATTCGAATCGGCCGATGTGTTTTCGTGCTGCATCTATAATTTAAGGGAAATACCGCTGACCCGGTTATGTTACCTTTAACGAGCCGTGTAAAATTTGAACGAGGGCTTTGGCCGCGTTCGTGCAGAATCCGTAAACTTGCATACTTTACTCGTTCGATGGAGACGTGAGCGGATACGTGCCAGAGCTTTGTGTACGAACAGTGACTAGGTCAGATCAAAGATAACCGTTGCATGAAGAGGTCGTGGTACGGCGTACGGTAGGATGGCGTGCCGAAAGTTCATCCAGGCCCTGGTAAATCGACGATTACATCGGTGCGCACCTTACCTGTCATAGATTAATGACCGGTGCTTCCACTCCTACGCGTTTAAGGGGCCGCCGGTTTGTTCGAGCAGTGTCCTTTGTCGGTTTCGAGCTCTTTGATACCTTGTCGTGTACAATGGCTCTCAATGATTCGTGTTACTCCCAGGATCATAGATTCCTAGCAGTTAATATTTCTACCGACGGGAAATATTGAGCCGGACGGGTTACTATGATAACTTGAATAGTTTATGTTCGCATTTGCACACGTTGACTTCTATATATGAGTGAAGCAACTTTTTGTATAGATTTAAGAAGTTTTAATTTTTATGAACCTCACAGATTTTGTTACATCTATGAGATGAAGATTGAGAGAGTAATCTCTGTGAAACCTTTTGAGTTTCTTTAAGAGGATTGCTTCGATTGCAATATTCATTGGGTGGTCAACGTGTCAAGAAAAACGAGTACTACTACTACTGGTCTTCGATCGGTTTCATTTTTGGGATTATTTGAACTATTGCCTCTATTTTTGTTACAGTTGTTTCCGATAAGCAGGGTTTGAATGACTCGAATGACACTAATCAGCCGTTAGTACATGTGGTTGATTAATGCGTAGTGTAATTTATTTTTCATAAAATTCGTCAGTTATTCCAGTGCAATTGTGTAGTTTGTAAAATACATATTCAGAGACGAAAGGGTTAAGAATTACTTTATGGTAATAACATGCATATAGTGCATCATTCATGAATATATGCAATTATAAGTATGCCTTTATGCATTTACATGACAGTGTTCGGTAAAATTTGATTTCGATAATGGATTAAAGATTAGAATGACGAATAAAATTGTGTTCGGTGCTAGTGCAGTTGATTATCAGCGCTAGTTAATCAAATAATTATTTATTCAATATTGGAATTATTTGCAGTGATTATATGCATATTACATTTCGTTATAATGGTTTCATGAAGTATTACAATGGACGTTCGTTCGAAATTATTTCTGTTGTTGAAGAGAATGTTCAAGTTAATGGATAGAATTATTTACTGCAAACAACGAATAATTATTACCTAGATGAAATGGTCGAATAGCAATAATTTATTCTAATCTAGAGGTCAGATATATACCTATTATAAAGGTTAGTTAATATTAAAATACTATTTAAAAGAAAGAATTCATAGGCAGGTAAAAGTGTATGGATAAAGAAATGTGTTAATATAACTGAAAAGAGATTTATGTATCACTGTTTGCATAGAATGTAGATGAATAATAATGAATTGTATCCTAATGGTGATAATACAAGAATTCACTGCTACATTGAACATTTTTGTCATTGAATATTCAAAAGCAAACGTGGCATAACAATTTAGTACCTTGATGTAAGTACATCATATAAATATTTATTACTTTTACATGTATTATTTCACGATTTTTTTTTAGCAAATTTGCGCACAAAGTATTAAATTGTTAAGCCACGTTTGCTTTTGAATATTCAACGACAAAAGTATTCAACACAACATTGAATTCTTGTATTATCACCATTAGGATACAATTCATTATTATTCATCTACATTCTATGCAAACAGTGATACATAAATCTCTTTTCATTTGCATTTTTGTTAGCCATTCTCGTAAATGTACGTACTTGTAAATTTCACGTAATGTAGATAAATAAAAAATATCAACAACCTTTTGACACTATTTTAAATTTATTTTAGAAATCATATGATTTAATTTCGAATTATTCTTGTATCTTGAAAAATAATTTCACAAAAGAACTTTGAAAATGTTTATTTTCATTTTTCAAACTAAAGACTCTAGAATAAACCATAACATACACAAATTCTACTGTTAAACATTGAAAATATTTTTGCAATTTCCAAATTAATCACACGTGAAGAGATTCATTTTAATGAAAAATCAGTCACTCATAACTTTTTGAAATTGCTTTAAAAAATTAATGATGACACATTTGAAATGTCTTGTCACTCAAAACAATATATTTTTATTTTTAAACTGTAAATAATTCATACTAATATTATTTGATATTAATTAAAATGCCTTGAAATTAGCATCAATGGAGTATTGTGCATTTCATTTTAATAAAAGTTACGTGAAGTTTACGATTGATATATCCAGAACGATAAAGAAAGATGGCTGCGATAAGCCTGAATTATATTCATATGGTATTTACGTGTTCTGATGTCAGTTGTCAGTGCGATAGTAAATGTTTGATTAATTTAGTTAACAATTATGTAAGTACTTATCTAGAAAAATGTATCGCCAAATGTACACCTTACTAAAATCACTTCAATGAAATTATCGTAAATATTAATGGTGTAGTATTATCTGGACTGGATAATATTTTGATTAATAAAAGAGTAGCTAGTTTTTAAGTCGCTAAGAATATTTCAATATTGCCCAGAATAGATGGTTATCACAATGATAAGAAGTACTTTATTGTCATTTATTAATAGTCTTGCATTCTATTGTCACTGTTATTACGTCAGTACGTAAAATTTTATGGCGTACAGTTACCTGGTTTGTGAAAAAAGCATTAACCACAAGCGTGTGCTTGATTTAGAAGATAGGAAAGTAGCGTGTTCATAACAGTCAGGTTTGTCCGCAGTTTCAAATGCGATCAGTTTTCAAGAGAAATTGCAGCAAAATAAATTCCTAATATACGACTATGATTCAACTTCTGTCTAAAATCTGTAACCTATTGTTAACAATTAAATGAAAGTGAACATTCCGATTTCAACTAACACGTACACTGTAAGATGAAGGTTATAAAAATGATATTAAAATAATTAAAAGAATCAAATATTTAAAAATTGTATAAAGATTTATTTTTTGGTAGATTACGTTGCTGGTGATATTTCAAAATTATTCTCGTATGAAAATCAGTACAATGGTATAAGATATAAGTAAAGATGTCTATGACAAATGAATATAGAAGCATATAGACAATAGTCAAACAAATTTTTAAACTTTGATTAAAATTCTTCATATGATACCACTGTTTAACTTACCGTTTTTAACACTATTCCTATCGAAGGTGTCAAAGAACAACTTTCGAATTGTTAACTTAAAATTGTTTTCCAAGTTTAGTGATATATTCTGAATTGACTTTTCGACTTTGCAATAACGATTATAAAATTAACTTTAGGGAATGTCCAAAATTCAATTGAGAAAGAATAGTTAAACCAAAAAAATAATTTTAAGTTAAAATTTCAAAAGGTGTCTTTTGACGGTAGAAATAGTATTAAGAAGTAAATAAATGTAGACACAATAAAAATCTGTTATCCGAAGTTATAACGATTAGTAAAAAATTAACATAGTATTAATTTATTTATTACAAAACAGCGAAGTTCGAAATGTTTCCTCGAATTGCACATATCTGTTTATAAATTTGTCGTATTTCATTTTCAATGGTAGATATTAAATAAAGTGTATTGGTTTAAGTAATTTTGTTACTTATGATTTGTCACTGGAGTTTTTAAACATTTCTCTTAGATGAAGTAATTTGTCTCTGATTTGTTACAAATCTATGTTAATTTACAATGTCTCCCTGTGGTTATTCATATGCAAATTCAGTTCATACGTACCACGTCCAATCGATAATGCGAGATGTCAAGTTACTTCACAGTTAGTATAATCACACAGGAAATACCTGGCGTTTAAACCGAATATTTAAAGAATGATTGATTTATAGACACGTGCTTATTAAGACTTTTGCATTTTTTTTTTATAAGTCTTATCAATAAGATAACTGTTTCCGCTCCAACTTTTTTAACTAAACTTGTTACATTTTGTAGAATGTTGCATTGTTTTAAACATTTGTTCAAAACACCTTATAGAAGAAATATATCAGTTTTGTTCAACTGTCAACCATAATATCGCGATAATAAATAATCAAGTAAGATATCATATAGTATAAAGTAAATATTTATCTACTGTTCTTAGAAAAATAATATTAACCTTACCAATACTGCCTCTTTAACTTACATTATATTAATTTTTTAACATTAACAAACATAAATATTTTCTGAAATGTCTAATTATTTGCTCGTATAAAATTCGTATTTTCAATCGGTAAATAGTATTCTGAATAAGAATGAGCTTTTGAACTATCTGTAATCTTCGCTATATTATGCAACATATGCATAAGGAATAAAATTACGTAGATGTACATATGTAGCATTTGAATTTTGAATATGTCTACAAAGTAAGAGTCAATTAATACATATGATCTTTACTGACATTTCAATGTTTTAAAAGCTTATTTTCGAAATTCGTTTTTTGACAAGCAAGTTGTTATTAAACTGATGATCTTTATACAATTAGAGATTATCATGCAATAATTTCGAGAAACTAAGATAAGAAAGCGATTTTACATATATACCGTAATGAGAGTGTTCCTAGATTCTGGTTAAAAAAACATTAATTGCCGTTTATGAAGTGTAGTCATTACAATTAGATAACTCAATACGATATCGTGTAATTTTGAAGTTATAAAGTATTAATGTATACTTCGACGCGAGTTACCATAATATCTTTTCGATAAAGATTTTGTTTATAACCTTCTTTATAATGAAAGTAATTTGTTTATAATGAAGGGTAGTTTTACATTAAAATGTGTATTAATCGAGTTTACTCTCGAATGACAAATAACAATTGTATCGATGACAAATATCAATAATAACATTATCGTTTTTTTTCATTACGTTGTTTCAATAAATGAGGAAAAACTTACGAAAATCATTTTTTTCGCAATAAAATATTAAAAATTAAGAACTAATCCTTAATTGATGTTCAAAGACTAATATTTACTAATGCTGTCTTATGTATCTTGTTAGGAATAACAAATAACTGAGTTATAGAAAGTTAATTTCTGGGGCTATAATATGACTTTAATGATGCAGAAAGATAAAATGCATTTTGCAAGTTCAGAAGCGAACACAGCGGTACACTGTATGAAAGTTATATAGATATACTGTAAAACTGCAAAATTCTTATAAAAAGATAATCACGATAAAACATCAAGACAAGTACTGGCGCCTACATTTGATTTGATAGAATAAAGGGTGCCGTCTGGCCATCAAAACATTGCCACGGAGCGACGCCACGTTTGTAATAAAAGAACTGCCAGGTTCTACAGTCATTAATGGACAGCTCGTGTTCGCTCGTTAACAAATTTCGGCATCACTATACATCTTTTGTAGTTCCCGCTGAAACGACATTCCTCTGTCCTTTTTCTATACCTTGCACTTTTACTCCCGTAGATGAATCGCAAGATTCTTCGTGAACGTCTCGAGGAATGATTCAATGCTGTGATACGGGAATCGTTCGTAAAAATGTTCTTGTTCGGTGTCGTGAAGGAATCGTGACGCTCTTAACGATTTTGCTTTCGGTCATCACATTGGAAACACGCCCCGCAAATTCTTATTTGCTTTTATGCGCTTTGAAAAATTTGAGGAGTTAGCGATCTTCTTTTATAATGAAATCGGCATTTGTTTGTGGTAAAAAAGTTGACAGTAATTACCGGTTCAGTAGTAGGTACATAGAACGTCATCAAATTGATTTTACTCGTTTCAGCAAAGAATTATAATAACTTTATTGTCTGTATCAATGTAACATTTTGTATAATTACCTATTTGTATTTCTGACATTATACAGTGGATTATTGAATCTTATACAAAATGAAGTAGACTGTTGATATGTTTATTGAAATAATTAAAAAAATATCCATCTGATCTAAGTTCAAAACAAGATCAAATAAATCTTTCGTTTACATTTACTTTACCATTTTTCAATACCTAGGAATTTGAAATTTAACTAAGTCTAGGGCAGATATCTTTTTATTAAATTTAATAAGAGATAACTCGTTTTTATTTTTTAAATTCTTCCTTACGTTTACTATAGATACCTGCCTGGCCAGTATCACACTTATTGTTAGTGACCATTATACGATTTCAACATTGTTTAATAATTTCTGAATGACTCGACTGAGCGATTCAACCCTAACATTTCAATCGTTAATGCGAAAAATATTCCGTCTTAAATTTTTCTTGTCAGGTGATACATGTTATAGTGACATCTTCATGAATGTCTATAGCGTTCGCAGTCATTTTCTACAGTACAAAATTGTTTACAATTGCAGGTGGTGATGTGCGGGGCGGTGCCGGCAATGGTGCGCTCCGTGAGTCTGTACTCAACTTGTAGCAGCGGCAATGTTACCGTAATTGGCCGCTCGATCAAAGCCATAGGACGCGATGATCACAATGCACCCTACCGTAAGTAAGATTATAATTAATTACACATCTTCAACAGATAAATTGAGTGCGGGTTAAAAATGCGAACTATTTCAACAGTATTTATGGTTCAGATTTAACACCCGAAATTTCATACCTGAACGCGTTCAGCTCGATAAATGTTCATGATAATATAATAATTAATAATAGAAAATAGCGATTTATATTGATTCATCAATTCAATACTTAGGATCATCTCAGTAATTATCATGACTTTTAGTATTCAAAGCGAAACAAAGTATAATAACATTGATCTTGGCTAGTAAATCATTGCTACTGGGCAATCATTCGAACAGCAGTCGAATACATTAGTTTGCATATCTTAATATTATTATATAAATATGTACTATTGCCCAAAAAGTTGGAGGCATATTTAACATTCACGAGTTATGAATTAAACTAAAGTAAAGAAATAACATTTATTCCATATTGTCCGTAATATCACGATAATAAATTACCATATAAGATATATAGTAGTATAAAGTAAATAATACCTACATTATAAAATCTATTGAAAACTTTCTCTACTGAATCGCCTTGTTTATCTTGTATTTCAACAAGCGCATCATTGTCTTTCTCTTTAATTCATACATCTAGAATGATTTATCGAATTACGCAATTTTCATGTTTAAAATTATTTTATTATAGTGTAATAATCATAATGTTTCTTTCCTTCATCGTATCATTTTGTTCCCTCTCTATAATATTATAGAATAAAACTTTAATTATGAAAGAAGAAAGATATTTCGACAAAAGGAACATTGAATATATTGAAGAGATCATTTGTAAATAAATACATATTAATGATAGGTAATATTATAATTCTTCTACAGCAGCGTCAATTAACCAAAAATTTATAAAGGTTCAATGGTTTATTCCTTTTCATTTTGTTCGTTAGGATGAAGAAGGTCGATATGAGTTCAAGTTCTCTTCTCGCCAAATAAGTGACCTCAAACTCTTGAGCGATACGTACCGCGTATTTTGGGCCTGATTTCGAAATGAGGCCAGCCACGCGACTTCGACATTCAAACAGCTCCCGAATAAATTTACCGACGCAACGTGTGGGTTCACCGTGCAGGATAGGTCGATTGGTTAATTGAATCGAATCGGGTAACCGGCCGACACAGACCACTCGACCGTGACGTTATCTTCTCCAATCGATAGTTTCGTAGACTAATAAGGATTCCGAACAAAAGAGTGGTGAACTCCTGGAAGAAATAAACGTCCGGGTCTACGGCACTAAAGATCTTAATTTATAGCGATTCTTATCGATCGACCTAGGGTCAGGGCCTTATCTCGTTCGCTTTCCTTCCGAGCTCGAGTTTTATCTTTACGAACTAATAACCAAGCTCTATTTCCGCGGAGTCGGGTTACGTACACGGGCTGGAAAGAACGAAAGGAGTAAAAGAAAGCGGTCATCGAGAGGAGTCTGGATGAATTACAGCATCCCGTTGCCTCGTTTCGTCGCGATTGTTTTCGACTAGACAATGCTTATCTCGCCTTTGGCTCTGCCGAAACGAACCTGCACTCGTTTTCCTGCTTATTTATTGGGACCGTTGTCGTCGCGCCTCCGCCGCCTCGAGTTCACGGTCGTTCTCTTAGAAATCGAGTTCAACGTATTAATGGAACTTACAAAGAGAGTTCCGCGGGCTTAATGCTTTAACGATTCTCTGAGGAGGAGATTTATCGTGAATCGCTTATCGAGACGTATAAAAGGGTAATACGACGACAAATTACCCATGAATATTGCCAACGGTATCTGTAAAATAAGACATCAAAATAGTCGCGATAGACCACGCACGGATTGAATAAATGCAATTAATTGGTCGAACACATATAGAAGTGTCAGCGTTTTGCTTGCCGTTTTTCTGCTTTTGCGGTAGGCAACGTACATTTACATATTTATATGTGAATGCGTAGGGAAAGCATATTAAGCAATGATTAATTTTAGGGTGAACACTGAAAGATATACTTATTATTCTTATCTAGAAGAGATAACTAGAGAAGTAAAATTAAGTATACCATTTTAGAAGAATTTATGACACCGGAGAATTTATTAGTGGTATTATGATATTTTTTATACAAACGCAATTTTCTCATCAGAAAATTTTACATATTTAGAATCCGACTAAAGACTTCAATGTTTTCTTGGTACTGCTAAAAACGACGTTGGAAATCAAATGAGAAACGTTTACTATGATATATATATATATGTTATATACACATCTATTATGCATTAACACGTGCAAGAAATTTTGTAATTTCATTGAAGACAAAGCGTTATATGAACGTTATTATTAGTTTTTTAGTTTTCTATTTTTATCATTTTTCATATTGGTAAGAGTACAGTCTTAAAATGATTATATATAATTTGTAAAATGGTAGGAATTAAAAAGCTATAGACAACTTGGCGCCATTAACCATGCGTGGACGCAAAGAACGTTCGTGAGCTAGTAGACATAAATTGAATTTTCTTACCGTTATATCTATTGATAATTCGTTCATTTCGTTAAATATACACCAAAAATTAATATCAATGTGTCGAAAATTTTCTATGTGGAGAACTTGATTGTATTGACATCAATATAAAGTGAACTTCTTTTTAACTTTTCTATAAAACAGTCAAATGTTAGTATGGAATTAACCGAATACTTCTAAATTTCTTAAAAAATTAAGTGCTTTAAATCATATAGCAAAAAATTTGCGCGTGTTTATAAGGAAAGTAACAAAACGCGTATAAAAAAATATGTACTATTAAATAACAAGGTTAAACAAATTAATTAAACTAATCATAAAGAGCTACCGTTTGACGTTATAAACGAGTTGCATTTTAAAATAGAATAATTAATATTTCAGTATATTGAAAAATATCCTTATTAAGTGCAGACTTTATTTCAATAACAAAAACAATAGAAATAATGGGAATGAAAATAGGAAGAAAAACAGGAAAATTGATCAATCGTACAAATACGAGCGTCTTCGCCGCTTTAAGAACCAACGGTCTGAAACCGCCAAAGTCGTAAAAATTTTTCAGAGAAAAGAAGAAAAGGCACATCGACGATCTATTTTATGAAGAAGGTTCTTTTTATGACGCCGGCATAGCAGATCAAAATAAGTGCTATAAATACCTGACTATTTATATTTCCTATTGGTTTTGAAATCGTTTACGAAATTTTAAATAGGATTTTCTTAAACTTTAACTTTTTAATCTTGTTTCACGTTTCTCTCAGAAATCGTTATTGATTTTAGTGTCTGTAGTTAAAACTACAATTAACATAGTATTAATAATTTGTACTTTTCTCATTTAGTTAAGGCCAATAAAAGTAATAAAAATCAGATTATTTATAATCTCAACAATTCCTGTTTTAAAATGATGATTTTACTTAAACGATCATTGATTCATTTACTTCTACCAAATAGAGATACAGATGTATGTACAATTGTCCAATATACTTCGGATAACTAAGTAAAAATGTTAAAATACATCAAATATTCAAACATGAACTTCCAATTAATTCTTTAAACAAAAATTCCAAAGATTCTTCTAAAAAGTCACTTTTAACCAGTAATTCTCCAATCGTAAACAAAAACCATCAAGCGTCAACTTCTGAACAAAAAATAATACAAAAACGATTTCACAAAATGAAACCATGCAAAATCGTTGAGCGTTAATTCGTCAAGAGGTTACGTTACTTCCGTTAGATCGAAGTTCGCAACGAAAGCTACCATTACGTAAACAGTCGGTGGCACCCTTTCATCTCCCGCGCGGCAGTCGCTGTCTTCGCGTAATAGACGTGGTCGTAAATACCGGTACGTGAGGTTGCCGCATTTCACGGCGAAGTCAAATTTTCGAACGTGTCCGTGGACAGTGCAGAGGCTGTGGACGCTGCAGACAACGTCGGGAAGCGAGTATCCGGCGTATCCGTGGCGCTCGCGCGAGGCGGCTCCTCTTCTGGCTGTCGCTCGCAAGGAAGGGGAGGAAAGGACGGTCTGAAAGGAGGGAAGAAGGCTTGTGCAAATAGAGAAGCCAGGTTTCGCGCCGCACGCTGCGCCGCGTCTGCACCTCCCCGAGATCCATCACCTTCGTCCACCTCTTCCTCTTTTTCCACCTCCTCCGTCTCCCGTTGCTGCCGCTCTGCCTCCACCTTTTCCTTCTGATACATCTCTCCTACCTCTGGCGGCGCTTTACTCCGCACAACGAGCCTCTCCGGACCGGCGATTACTCAAGCACCGTTCGCGAAACGGACCGACTTGACTGCACTCCGCTCTGCACACGGGGGTTTCAGACACCGTGAGAGCGTCCTTGAAACTTTGAATTCTAACCGGCCGAGCAACCAGGTGACTTGGTGGATTCCTCGCGAGTCGGCGGGCCCGAGTGATAATTAGCCTCGCGTGGAAAACTGTTTGTTTGCAGACTTACCGCCAATTAGCCATCCCGGACTTTATGGGTCTATTTTATGACGGTGTTGTCGTGTTGGTTTATGCGTTCCAAAATTGAGATGACTAATTAACGAGTACCGTGGTGTCTCTTCTGGCATTCGTTGTCAAACTGGTGAAAACTGATATGTCGTATAACGAAGCGATCGCATTTCATTGTCTTGGCGTAGATATTATCAGAAGCTAGTAAATCTTTCATTGAGAACTTCAGAAGAAATAGCAAATTGATGAACGATGAAGGTTCAATGATTGAATTATATCTATGTGTGAATCATTGTTCGCCGATGCACATGGGGATAAGCGGAAATGAAGATATTATAGTAATTGTTTCTTTTAATTATCATGCAGAAATGATTTTTAAATTCAGATGTTGCTTCGTCTTCGAGATGTTGTTTCAGAAAATTTCTGTTTGTTCTTATCGAATAAAACAGATTTGTCGTACAACATTGTTTATATTTCTTGCACATTGCAGTTTTCTTCTGGTACAAGGTGATGCAATCAATTCACGTCAAACTTACAATTAATTGATATTACAGATTAATATT